GAAGAGTTTCCATTCTGCTTGGTCCACCCCATGCGACACCTTCTCTTAATTAGCATTGTGTAACCCAAACGGGGTGTGGTGCAAAATCCACAGGAGCAAATCTGAGTCCAAACCGACTTCGTTTCGGATGCTTTCCGTTTCGTTCGAAACTGGAGCCATTTCATGGAACCAAATATTTGGAGCAGCGTCGTGACGAGTAACCACGCAAACGAGATGGTTCAAGCAACTTCGAGTCCAAAAAATCGGATATCATTCCGCTGCCCGGTTTCGTTCCGGTTGCTGCCCAGTTTGGGCTGTTTCCAGCCAAGAGCTGTTTCTAGCAAGAATTTTGTTCCAGCCCACGGCTTTTTCCAACCCGGGTTGTTCCAGCCAAAAGGTCCAGAGCATGTTTTTTTTTGATTGAGAGTTGTTCCAACCCGGAGTTTGTTCCAGCCAGGGGCTTATTCCAGGAAGGGTTTTGTTCCAGCTACGGGTGGTTCCAGCCAAGGGAGTTTCACAGCGCGTGGTGCAGGCCCATTCATTTTAGAACTTATTCAATTGCAAGAAGATCGAAGGAAAGCGCAACAACTTCGCACGACTCTTCTTCTGAAGAGGTTGCTTAGCTTTGCAGTAAAACCTGCAGGAACTGGACATGTGTGAGCTCGTGCGTTTGTCGCGAGTTGCTGTTTTTGCCTTGCCAAAAACCAGCGTCTTCAAAGCTCTTTCTTCAAGCTTCCTTCAATCAAGCTCTGTTCGTCTTCGTCTTTGAAGCTTCCTTTGAAGCCTTTGAAGACCCTTCAATCGAACCCTTGAGCTCTTCGAAGCTTCGAGCATCTTCAAAGCCTTTCAAAAGACAGAGTCAGATAACCGTGGATGTCTTTGTTTGCAGCTCTTCCTGAGGAAGAGGTTTCAAGCTCTTAAAGGGCTTGAAAGGCTTAAAAGAAGAGGGAGGAAAGTGTTTTTTGGGCAAACAAAAAATTAAAATCCGCACGCAACAGACAACAAGAACAAACGTTTTCTTCATATTCAGTCAAGAGAAAGCTTTACAAAATCGCTTTAATGCAAGTAAAACCCTGCCAGCAGAATGCCTCTAGTGTTTTTCGTGTGGAGAGCTGGATCTTCCCAGGAATGGCGATTAATAGTTTATTGGTCATCCAAAGTCTCAAAAACGTGCCTGCAAGCACGCAAAACTCCCTTTCGAATCGTTTGTTGGATTTGAAAAAGGCATCTAGAGTGACAGCAAAAACCAATCTTCGCCCGAGAAAACAATAATGCTGATTCCAAGCCGTTTCGTTGTCAGCAGGTGGGAGAACAAACAAGACGTTTTGCAAGACATGAGTTCTTGTGTTTGGCTGAAACTTTCGTTTCGCTTTGATGTACTTGGCAGATTCATCAAAAACCAGCACATCCTTAGCACTTGCAGCGCCTTGGCATTTCCTTTCCGACACGCTGGAACCGAGGCAAGTAGAAAGCTCTGGACCGTTGCCTGCCGCCACTCTGAGCAGCGCTCAGGAGAAGAGACTCTCATGCATGCAAACTGTTTCCACATGTGTACAAAAACAAGAAACGGCGTGGTTTTTTTACTCCTCTGTTTCCAATGACTCCTCTGTTTCCAATGTTTTGGCCAGAGTACAAACCAAGATGAAGCAAGGCCGCGGTCCCCTTGGCTATCGAGGTGAAGCGTGCTTCTTTCATCCCTTTTTGGCAGGTCCTTTCACCCGGTTTTATCCACAAACGGAAAGGTGAAGAAGGCTTTGCTTCCTTTACCTCTCGGTTTTTTGCCCACAAATCAAGACGTGAAGGAAGCCGCGCTCCGCACTCCTGTTGCCCCTTTGGCCACAAACCAAGCAATGCAGACGGCGTAAACAGAAGTGTGGTCTCCAGCATGGAATTCGCACGCAAGCTAGCTGTCACGCCATATGCGGCTCTTTTCGTTTGTCCTGTTTTCTAATTTTCGACCGCCCTGTTTTCTGATCCGGTCCGTCGCGTTTTCTGAAATTATCCATCTGTTGTTTGTAATTTTTGTGTGTCCGTTTTCCTGATTTCAATTGCCGTTTTCCGATTTTGTTTTCTGATTTGGTCCGGTGTTTTCCGATATCGTCCGATCCGTTTTGATTTCCTCCGTACCCGCTGCTGGCTGTTGAACTTTCGTTAGAAATGCTTCATCTGATAAGATCTTTGGGATTCTGGAATTGGATTCTGCCACTGCCAAAACTGTTGAATCTCTGCAACGGCACCTGATCTTGGCTAAGACAGGATCTGGTGCAGGCACGTTCAAATTGTGGGTCTAGGGGTTTAGTGGTTGACGAAGGTGACTTACCTGAGGCTTGCCTTGTTTTTTTTTGCCAGAAACCGGGTTTCGCACCAGCCGCCGTGCAGCCAGAATGCTTAAGTGGAGTGGGTTTGAGAACACAGCTGTATATCCTTGTTTCAATGCATTGTATGTTTTGTTGTTGGCAAGCATCATACATGCACATTCATGCAGCACATTCCAGTTCGTCGGTTGCATTAACGTGACATGAAGAACAGCCGCTTGGTGTAGTTTGTACATGTCCCGTCGAGTCGGGCGTGTTTCAGTCGTGGCTTTTCTGGCAGCGATACATCTCCGGCGCTGTTGGATTGGCTGGCCACCTGGTTCGCACCGGAGTCCTGTGACATATCGACCTGAGCCCACAATGCGTTCTGGAATGAAAACTGCAGAGACAAGCCAGAACGCGGAAGAATTGGGCAAGCGAGCGCAATGGAATGTGGGCGTGACTTGGCCATGTGGCTGCAACATGAAACTCAGAGTCAAACTACATTGCAGTGCATCTGTTGGATAAGAAGAAATGCTAGCTCCCAGCGTTGTGTACCCTTCATGTCTTGGATTCCTTTTAGTGTCAAATTTCCACAAGTCCCAGCTCCCGAATCGTTGGGTACCTTTCATTTCTTAGCTAGAAGGCTTTATCCATTTTCGGCTTGTTTGGTGTTGTCCAAGTGACATAGGGCATAAATTTTTGATCCGACCCTTTCTTGTACAGTGATGGCACTGTACTGTAGCTTGAGAGCATCCGAGTACGCACTTTGCCTGCAGGTGATCGGGGCCGGTGTTGCTGGTTTGGTCTGTGCACGTGAGCTCCGGCGCGCTGGGCTTGGCGTCGAGGCGAGAGCTAGCCAGGTTTTGCCAAAAGTTCATGTTGTAGATGTTTAGGAAGTGCAGACATGTTTGGTCAGTGCGGCTTTCCGTTTGGACCTCATCCCTTCACAGTGCATGCGTGCATCGGTTGGAAAAGTCAGGGTTGTTGCGATGTGTTAGTCATCACCTTCACCGGTCGGAACTATGGCAATTTCTTGAACATATACTTGATCAGACATAGAATCTCGAGGTTTTTGAAGCATCTGATGGAGTCGGTGGGCGAGTTCGCACCGATGTGGTGCCTCTGCCAGGTGCACTGCTGTGTAGTGGAGTGTGTCGAAACGGTGTCGAATGTTTTGGAGGGCACGGACAACAAGCCGCAGTCCATCGATATGGTTATATTTTTTCATGTACTTTTAAGCAAAGAAAGAATCATAATGTGACATATGCGTCCATTTTCGATAGCATCATCTACCCTTTCCCTCAGGTGCAACAAGTTCGACAATGGAGTCGGCAAAGCGACCGTTTCTACTCGACAGGGGCTTTCAGATCTTGATCGAGGCCTACCCGGAAGTACGAAGGCAGTTGGACTTGAAGAGCCTGGGGTTGCGAGGCTTTGTCCCAGGTGCGGTGTTGGCATTCGGCGGTGGAGACTTGCGGATTGTCGCAGACCCTACCAGGAGCCCGAAGTACTTGTTCAGAACCTTGTCGGCCGGCATCGCCAACTTCCGCGACTTGTTTTCTTTAGGCATCCTGCGTCTCAAGCAGGTGTTTCTCGAGAGGCCCTATGCAGCGCTGGAGCGCAGCTCCGCTGGGGCGAGAAGTACAGAGGACTTCCTCAGAGACTCCCTGTGTCTGTCGTCGAATCTGGTCGAGCGCTTCTTGCGCCCGTTCTTTGAGGCAATCTACGTGACGCCGCTGCGAGAGCAGTCATCGGCTTGCTTCGAGTTTGTGCTTCGCATGCTCGCGGATGGTGGGACTTCGTTGCCCTCCACGGGAATGCAAGCTATCCCGGCACAGCTTGCCGAAGGACTGATGATACATTTGCAGTCACCGGTAGCTGAAATACGCCCGAACGGACTTCGGGTGGAGTCTGGAGAGTGGAAGGACTTTGATGCAGTCGTTGTTGCTGCTGATTGGCCTTCAGCCGGAAAGCTTGCGTCGGAAATCTCTGTTGCACATGGGACGCAGAGCAGCACTTGGTATTTTGCGCTTCCGTCCCCTCCTCCCATCAAGGATCCGATAATCATCTTGAACAGCACTCTCCAGCGAGAGAGCGACTCGCAGCGCTCGCGCATCGTGAATGTCGGTTTTCCTTCAGTTGTGCAGGATACCTATGCCCCAGATGGCTGGGATCTTGCTGCTGTGACCATCCGTGGAAGTTGTGACGTTGAGGAGAGCTGGGTCCGAGAGGAGCTCGCGGCACTCTTCGGCCTCGGCTCGCTCGACACGTGGCAGTTGCTGCGAGTCTACAACTTGGGCTTTCATCAGCCGCAGCAGACGCGAAGACTCTGGCCACCTCGGGAGCCTTTCCTCGGCAAGAGCGGTGTGTATCTCTGTGGGGACCACTGCGCGGAGCCGACGTTGGACTCAGCCATGCGATCCGGCAGACGGGCTGCCGAAGCCATCCTGCAGGCGCGGTGTGCAGAGCTAGAATACCTTCCCTTTCTTTCCGCTCGCAGCTCCGGCATAAGGGGATGAATGAGTTGGCTTTAAGCAGGTCAATGTTCGACATGTTTCGCATTCCCCGGTATTCATTACACAGATAATACAGGGATCTGTCAGCAGTGCAGCTTGAAGGCTTCGGGCCAAGCCGAGAATCGCTGTGCCTAGTTGGTGGCGACTCGAAGCTGTTCCGTCTGGACCAAAGGACTTTGGCGGTGTTTCTTCACGTGGAACGCCTCATTCAGATTTTTGCGATCTCGGATGGCCTCGGCATGATGAAGAGTATTCTCCGCGATCTGCGAATCAAGCCTGGCGTAGGTGCAGTTAGGCTTTCTGTGCACTATAAAAAAGATAAGATACCCTTTTCGCAGCATCTTCCAGAGCATTTTGTAGAGTCGAGCTACGTTTTTCGGTTTTTAAGGTTTGCTACCTGCAGTCGAACTCCTCTATGCTCTGCTTGCCTTGAAGCCGGGAGTTTCCTAGGGGCACTGCGGTTTAGGGCGGCAGGGGCCCTTGTAACGGGACCTCGAGCTTGCGGGGGACCTTGGGTTGAGCCCTCGTCTCGTTGCCATGGCAGAGGGAAGCCGTGCCATGCGCTGTCCATATGTGGAGGCCCCTTCCGGCACAAGGCCACTGCTTGTGCTAACCTTTTCTTCGCAGAGTGCGGTGCCTGCACGCGCATGCTCACATGCATGTGCCAGTGATCCCGAGGGCCAGAACGTTCGAAGCAGGAGGACATTGGCAGACTGATCTATCGCAACCAGGAGCTCCGGAACCGAGTCTTGTGAGTTGCTCATGGCTGTCCGCAAAGCTTTCACACTGACGGTTGGTCATGACTTACAGCGGCAGGAAGTGGTGTCACGGCTTAACTGCAGAAGCAAACAGCTCCTTCTTCGCAGTTGTCCTTTGCAGCCCTTTTGTTGCGGACGACCAGCTTGGATTGGACTCCAAGGACAGTGCGCTGGAACCTTCACAGAGACGATGCAGCGCCTTGTTTCAGTGGTACCGGCTGGGAGTTTCGTGGATGAATGCTCTGGAGTTGTGAGGTCAGGTTGTCCAGATTGATTACTGCGGCTGGAAGACTTCGAGACTGGAGGGAAGCTCTACGATTGCTGGAAGGCTAGGCTGGCTGTTGACACGTGTTGGGCTGAGAAAGGAAGAGGAGCTTGAACCTGACTGTGTCAGGTTCGGCCTCCTTGTCCATACGGAGGAATGCCGTCCTCTTCACCTCGGCGATGCAGAGCTGTGTGCGGATGCCGAGATTCGAGGAGCAACCCCCGGAAAGAGCTCAAGCGGCGCGGAAATAGAGACCTCCCGACACAGCCCCCCTTGTAAGGCTGTCACGCAACAAGGACTGACACAATGCACCTGAGGTATCATCTCAGCAGTGGCCTGCTGCCCTTGCCACAGAGCTGTCGATGCGGCACGCCGGCGTGAAGTTCTGGCCTTAATGTGCAGGGTCGAGATGAACCTCTACTTGACGTGCAGTGAATCTCAGGCCAGACTCTGTGGCCTCCAACACCCTCCTCAACGCCTTCGGGTTGCATCTCAAAAAATGCGCGCAGTTTCTGTCTGCTTCTCTCGCCTCCCCGAGGCTGGATCCCGGTTTTCCAATTGGCCCTTTGCCCTCTGCATCCTGGAGCCTCTTTGTGGAGGGCCCAATTTTCACGTCGTGAGATCCTGATATGTTGGCTCTGTTCGGTGCTCGCCCTGAGCGGAGTGGAGCGGAGTGGAGCGGAGCGGATGTGTGCGAAGTCAGAGCAAGCTCCAGCTGACCGCTGCCGTGTCTGCAGCTCGTAGGGATGTCCAAGATTGGAAATGCATTGAGAAAGTTGCCACCACTGCAGTGCAAGCAGATTCCTTAGCATACCATTGCCAATGTGGGAACTTGCGCGGGCATTCCTCGGCTTGTTGTCCTTGTAGTAGTGAAAGCACAATGCCTTCATACTTGGCCATGCTGCTTCGGCGAAGTCACTTCGTTTCGGCTTTCTCCGACTCAGGGGACACATCCGACATGGACGTCGGTTTTCGGATGTTTCGAGTGAGTTTGAGGCGAGACAGATGGAGCTCTGGAAGACCGACGACTTCTTGGCTTGGAGGTGGCTGCATTGCCGACACCTCTCAGATAGGATAGGTATACTTCTGTGCATTGCTTGGAGGTCCCGTTCTCGTTTTTCGGCCAGGGATCTCATGGGAAGAGGAAAGCGAAAGCCCGACATAGTCGTGGTTGTGCTGATGCCACCAGGCTGCCGGCTGCCGCCGTGCCCGTTGCCACTGCTGCAGCTCTTCCTACTGCCGCCGGGGCTACTACTGCATCTACTGCTACTACCAATACTACTGCTCCTGCTGCTAGGAGGAAAGCAGTGACAGCAACAGGACTACGACTACAGCTACAGGTGCCAATTAAAACTACAACAAAGGCCACAGCTACAGCTAGAGCAGCAGCTGCAGCTACATTACAGCTACAACAACTAGAACAACTACAGCTGCAAGTGCAACCCTCGACGACAACAACGATGTGTTTGCTCGTGCCAATAGTTTTGAGTCGCAGCACCACTAGCAATAGTGGTAGCAGCAGCAGCAGCAGCCGAGGCTCTAGCAGTTGTTCGCGACAGAGCAGAGCCCGTCAAATCTATGCCATTGGTGATGCAGCTCACGGAAAGCCAAGCATACACCTTGGCAGCTCATGTCTGGCTCAAGCATTCCGTGGAGCAAGATGTTCCAATGGCAAGGCCGTCTGACGTTTTTGATCCAAGTCGTTCTTTAGCCATGCTCAACCTGATGGTGGCTTCTGCTATCGTGATCAGACTCTCAGAACCCTCAGACTTTTGCTGTGTCCGACGACACAAATCATGTGTTTCCTTCGAGTTTGTCGCACCCCATGAGCCGTGGAAACAATGCACAGACTCTCGACACTATAGGACCCGAAGCCCTAAACCCAAAGCCCTGAACCCTACACAAGAGGGGGCTCTTGTAATCACGCCTGAAGTCGCGTAGAAGCCTTAACCACAACTACTCCGGCAAGCCCTGAAGTTCTTCTATGAAGGCTTTGAGAAGCATGCACAGGCCCCATGGGTGTTTATATCAGCTCCTCGCATCTATCACCATCCATCATCCATCAAAGCCCTAGAAGCCCTGAACCCTTTGAGCTGAGACCCTTAGGGGCTCCAGAAAAGAGCAATCTCGTTTCATAGGCGACGGCAGTCATGGAGCACGAGCCAGAGGAGCGGAGGCCCTTGGTTCGCAGAGCGGCCGGGCAGAAAGGAGCAGCTACACCCCAAGCCCGAAAACCCCTGAACCCTAAACCCGAAACCCGAAACCCCTAAACATCCCGAAACCCCTAAACCCCTAGTGGGCAAGACGCTTCCTGGCCAAGGGCTTTGACCAAGAGCCGAGGCAGAGTCAAAGAATTCTGCGAGTTACCGCAGGTGCTGGCAGAGGTGGGCAGGGAGAGCTTGCGGTCGCCCCTTATTGGTCCTTGTAGGGTCGAGGGCTTCGGGGTCTTCTAGGTTTCCTCAATCAGAGAGCTGCCCTCCAGAGGCATGGTGCTGCAAGGGATCCACGAAGAGTTTTCCTTCATGATGTGTTCGGTGTTTGTCTAGATTGAGAGATCCCAGCATCAGCACAACCCAAAACCACAGATTCGCAGAGGCCTGTTCATGCACTGCTGCATTCTGCGAGGTTATTCTTACACGCAGCTCGGTGCGAACTTCGAGCCTATTTTGGCCTGATGCGGGTGATCATGCAAGCAGTATCGATTTTTTCGTGTCCCACGTCCTGCATTTCGGATATAGTCCTTGAAGCGCCCCCCTAGCCGCACCAGACCGCTGAGGAGTACCATCCGCGCTTCGCCGAAAATTCTGAACTCGCAGCGCGCTCTGCGCTGTTCCTGGTTCTCTGCGGACTCCAAGCGGCAGTTTGTGCTATCACTCTGCAGTTCCTGAAGCCCTGAGCCCTGCAGCCTATGGTGTTCGCCGGGCTCCGACACCATGGCCATTTCGGTTGCATCTGCAGATGGAAGAGGAAAGGGCCTAAAACCCTGAAAAAAAAACGCCCGAAAGCCTGAGCCCCCTATCCTTGGGCCGTCGAGAAAGCTCTGCCAAATGAGGCCTTCCCTTCCTCATCCCCGAGGGCGAGATCCAGAGCCTCGATGCCTTCCTCCATACAGGCCGTACCCTAAACCCCAAACCCCTAAAGCCCTAAACCCCAAACCCCTAAACCCCTAAGTTGGGGCTTGGAGTAAATTAGGATGCAGCATGGATTGAACGGCGAGTGTCTTTGGAGGGGTCCTGTGGTGCCTACGCCCTCAAGCAGGGTCTGAGGAGGCATGTGGCTCAGAGGAACCTTGGCCGACCGACAGCAGCCGAACAAGCTTCCGAAAATCCTGGAAGACCGAAAACTCTTTCGGCTCGAAACCCTTGGCAAATCATTTCCTCCAGAGGAGCTTTGGTTGAAAGGTGTGGGGGTTTGGGGGCTAAACGGTTGATGAGCAATCGCTGCGCAGCGTTTGTCGCAAGCCTGCACAAGCACACACAAGCATTCGCAAGCGTTTGCGAGCTTCCCGCGGGTCCTGGAATAGGGCAAGCTAAGCGGAAGCTCCACCAGAGGAGCCAGGAATGTGGCAAGCTAAATGTGGTGAGCTAAAGTCGGAACGCGTTCGGCTGTCAGGCTGTGTTTGCAGCTCCTCAAAAGATGAAAAGATATTGACTCTTTTCATGTTATGAAAGAGTATGGCTGCTGTCAGGCTGTGTTTGCAGCTGCTCAAAAGATGAGAAGATATGAAAAGTCGTTGCAGGCTTCTATGCCGTCGGTGTGGTCAGCTTCATAGCTGCGGGCTTAGTCTGCAGATGTGGCAAGTTCGTTTGGCATTCCTGTGCTGTGACCAGGTCTTACACCTGAAGAGAAACCTGGGTGCGACCATGGCGGCGACAGCAAGTGGCCTGCGAGGCGTTCTGCTCGCAGCGGCTTGGCAGGGTGGCACCCTGTCTTGACAGCAGTCCCTCAAGTCAGCGGAGGTCTGCAATGCCTGGTTCTTGTTTGGCATCTGTCCTGATGGCTACACCGACGATGCAGCTTGTTCAACCACAACAGCTCGCAGTGGCTGTGGCTTTGAGATTGCCCATCTAGCTTGATCAGACGTTCAAGCAGTCAGATCCTTGCCTCAGCCCGGCAAGGCTTCAAGACGTACCTGAAGCCAAGGCACCTGTGTGGGTTTGGTGGTTCGGCCTACTGGAGGGGCTGCTGTTTGTGTCCCTGCTGGCGGCTTGGTGGCAATTTGGGCATCATCTTTCCGAAGTAGCAAGATCCGTGCTATGATGACGACTACTTCAGAGCAGTGCACATCAGTATGGGCCATGAGTGCTGTCGCGACGTGTGAGGACGATTGCCACAATAGTTTCGGCATACTTCGCCACAGCCCAAATCCCGGCACACCCCGGCACGGGCCTCTTGTACCCAAATCCCTTTCATCACTTGCCTGCTGGATCCAGGCATTCCTGAAGTTTGCCACTCTGAAGCAACTGGTTAGAAAAGTGAAAGTAATTCAACGGGATTTTACTTTGTTGGTGCAGCAGGGTTTGTCGTCAGCATCTTGGCAAGCGAACCGTAACAGCCGCCTCTTCCGAAAATGGCATCAGCAGCAGCACCTGCAATAATACTCGAGCTGCTTGCAACATGATCAGATTCATCATCATATCCACATCCGCGATGTTGTGAGGGTTGACCTCTCTCTGTGCTGGCAGCGTTTCGGGGGCGGGAACCGAAATTGCAGCCCGCAACGTGTGCGACCCTAGGGAAGTGTCTGCCCGAAGAGCGGCAGATCCGGAGTGTTTCTGTTATGCTTGCACAGGTACATCATATGAGAGTCGTGCAGCAGTGAAGGCTCAGATTTGTATGGTCATTCCTATTGTTGGTGTTACCACTGCTGTGGTGTTTCCACCACCCTCCTGGCCTGCTTCATCATCGTCATCATCACCACCACCACCACCATCGTCATCACCATAAAATCGTGGCCATTTCAAGCACAGATCATGGGACAGAACGTCATCTCACTCTCAAGTTCGTGGTCCTCAGTGCCCTCGTTGTCATCATCACGAGTCATCACTGCCATCATCCTCATCGGCATCTTCAAAAGTACAAGAGCTTGTGCGGAGGAGCCACATTCAGCATCATTGCCCGGTTGGAGCATTGAAGAGCCAGCTTTGTGCTGAGTTATCTCTGCATCAAAATGCTTTGCGATGGACCGGATGCATGACAAGTTTCCGGTCTTTGTTTCGAGCAGTCCAGGCTTGCTGTTGGACTACTGCACTTCAGGCTGTCAGAACTAACTTCCATCCGTCCAAGACATGCGCATGAGCCTTGCGCGGAACCAAGGATACGGCAGTGATATTTAGCATCAAGCTGTTCGCGGGCTACTGGAGCCTTGCCACTGCCAGCTCAAGAACATACGTGAACAGAATTTACGTGTTTGTATGTATGAGATGAGAATCAGACACAAGCTTGCGGAAGCGGCAACCGCGAGTAGAGGAGACAGCGCAGTTTGACGGTAAGTACATTTTAGTATGGCACCCGACATAGGGGCCAATCCTGCACGGATAGTCTCAGTCCCAAGTAGGTCTCGTGCTGTATCCAGCCATGACCTATTGGGGCCGATGCTTCCAGACACAGAGATGTGAGTGGTTGCGCCTGCTGTTGACGAGACATGGGAGCAGGGTGTTGGAGGCTGGTAAGTGGCAAGTGAATGTGGAGGGGAATTGAAATACATAGGCTGTTGACACCAGGTGCCATATCTTGTAAGGCGAGTAAACAAGACGGAAACCTATGAAAAGGATTGCTTTTCAGCCCGAAAGGCGAACATGAAGAGGGCTTTGAGTAATTGTGGATAAAACCTCAAAAGGTACTGGTAGAACCGGATTTGAGAAAACACATGGTGCAATGAAGCACGCTGGGCAATACCCAAGCCATCAGCTCAACAACTCACAAGTTGGGATCAATACGGCCAGATTGTGAGGCCGGCAAAGAACCTGCAGCAGGACTCGCCCTCACTAAACTGCGTTTTTCTTCATTAACTCTGTCATCGCAAGTCGTTCCAGCACTTAACTGTCTGTCTGGAGCTCTTGGCACTGCGCATACGACTGCAGTTACTTCAGCTGGGTTCTTCGCGGGAAGCAGTAGCACCGGCGATGCGAGTTCGGGCCGCATGCACTATCGTAGTGCAAGTGTTTTGAAGTTTCGTAGACGTCAAGGATTCAGTCACGGTATGCGCCTGAAGCTTTCCACCTGAGAACAAGCCGAGGATGCAGTTTCTGAGGGGAGATCAGAAAGGCTTCAGGCAGCCCTTCACACCAGGATTTAGTGCCTCAGCTTCCAAGCACTTATGTGATGGAGTATCACATTGGAGACGGTACCAAGCTGTGCACACCAATGGGCTCACATTAAATTACACTAAGGCCTGCTTGCATCTGAGGTCTGCGGAAGAACCGAGGCATTCAAGATTTGCAACTTTGCTGAAGCTGTGGGGCGTCTGTGTTGCAGGGTCTGGTGCAGCCCGAAGAAGCGCAAGTAATGGTGGCAGTCTACGTAGTGGCCGCACTCATGCATACAGAAGCAAAGGGTGAAACAGACATGAGGCGGTTGGTAGCTGATGGTGATGTCAATCGTGCCGATAGAAAAAAAATGTCTTACGACCGTGTGTGAAGACACCTTGCAGGGATGTTCCGAATCTGCAAATCCAGGACCTGCGTGGTCTTGGGATCCATTTTCGCCCTCCTGGTCTACATTGTGCCTTACCCCCTCACAGCCTTAAACTCTGCAAAAGAGGTGCGCCAGTAATCGATCGGTCGCTGGCGAGAGTTTGCCACGTAGATTCGTACACTGGATGGCCCGTGCCTTGGAGGTTGCAACCGAGATGACGCACGAGGTGCCCGTGTGGGGGTTGCATTGCATGCCTTTAGATCCAAGTCTTGGAAAGCCCCCCTCCACCTCGAATCATATACTTGTAGCATCTTGGTGAGGTACCCAAGATTTTGCGACTGTTCGTTGAGTTCCTGGAAACGGACAAGAGCAACGATTACGGCCAGGCTCCTGTGTATACGCACGCCCCAGAGGAATCGGGTGTTTACAATTGTTATTAGCAGCTGATCAGTCCCTCCCAAAGGGTGGCTTTGTTCTAATTATTCAACTCAGCGACACCACAAGGTATGTGACATATGCACTATGAACACGGGTATGTGCTGCATGTACAAGGCTTCATAGAGTCGATGTCTCTGGATCTCCTTCCTGCTTGAGTGCCCGGCCAGGATCGTATTCAGCGGCATATACGGCGCTTGCACAAAGAGTCAGGCACGTGTCACCTGGAAAGACGTGTAGCCACACCATCGCTCCCTGTACCCCGAACGGCTATGGCATTCCGATCGCTGTGCAGGTAGGCTTGCAGACAGCGTGAAGCATGCCTGGTGGGAATGTTTTGGCTGCGGGCGCAGGCCGGAGGGCCGCAGCATCCACAGCATTCCGCAGACCTGGAGTGGCGAGTTCTTGACCGGACACAGTGCCTGTTCAGTGAGCGCCGGAGGCAGCTGGACAGGTGGGCGCTTGGGGTGCTCGAGCAGTCGCTGCAGAAGACCTACGATGCGCCGCACAGCATGCACAGCTGCTGTGTGTTGGGATTTTCATTGAGGGCTTAGTGCTGAGTTCGACAGGCTTGTTTCGGGAGCACTCGGCCGTGCCGCATTGAGCATTCTAGGGGCTGCACCCACGGGCGGGCAGCGCAGGCAGCGGCCCGGAGCAAACCACAACAGACTATGCTATAGTAGAGACTATGATAGCATACTCGTCTTCACCTATAATAAACCATACAAGGACGGATGCGTGGCGCTCCTTCCATGCGGCCCCCCGTCTCTTTCGCTTCCCCGCCCCTAAACCCTCCCTGCACCCCGCCTCCTCCCACCCTCTCGCTTGAGCGCCCACTGATGCTGTTGATGTGCGCGCCCTTGGACACTACCGACGCCATCGCCTTGTGCCTCATAGGCAGCTGCGGGCGTTCCGGGCGCTCATGATGCTCGCCAAGTGCTCTCCCGGGGTCTGTTACAGATGCCCGAAACCCGCCATGCCGTGGGAAATACCGCAAAATACATGCGTTTTCCGGGTGGAAAACCGCAGATCCGATGATGCAGGGTCGGCGGCACTGGCGTCTGCCCTAGTGCTAAAAGGCTTGCAAGCTGTGCACTGCCTAAGAAGGCTAACGCAATCGATCAAGCGCAGCGGGCCCTTTCTGCGAGTGTGGCCCTTGGGGCTGCGAGGGCAATAGTGCACGAAAGGCGAAGCCTTTCTAAGGAGGCGCGCATAGGCGCGCCGATGCCGCCGACCCTGCTTCATGGCGCGTCTCGCTACTTTTTTTGTGGCCTTGCATGCATGTGGTTGGGGCTTCAAGGCTGAGCGCTTGGACGACTGGGTCTTGCATGGCTCTGTCGGTCATTTTCGCCTTTGTGTTGTCTTTGGCAAGAGGCAAAAACTCCGTAAATATCGAGGTTTTCGTGTGTTGTCTGTCTTGGAGAAAAAGCGGCCCCCACCCCTGTTCAACCCTCAAACCGAAACCGTTCGAGCTTGCGGTCGTCAGGGCCTGCTTCCATCTATACCTGGAGTTTCCTGGAGTCAAACTTTCGCTCTATGATGTGCTACCTCTCGGAGAGGACTGCCTGCGCTGCCCACACCTGGCGCAGCCCTTAAAAGACTGCCCTTAAATAAACGTTCCCCATGGGGACCCGGCGCTGCCCGATTTGCAATGCCAGAAACCTGGACCGCCAACACAGACCTCGTTGCGATGAACATGTTATTCCTGAACCTTGGAAGCTGACTCAGGATCCAAGGCATTTGGGCTGTGGCCGAACTCACCAAAACAGAGGTGGGCTGCGGTGCTGATTTCAAGTCAGTAGCATCTGCCGAGGTCCTCGTCGTCCTAGTCACCCTCCTCGTCCTCGTCCTCGTCCCCCTTTTAGCGGTAGTGGGCATGGTTCAGCTGCAGGCAGCAGGAGTCGAAGTAGTCCTAGTTGTAGAAGCACTCGTTTTCGGTCGCAGTACGGTGGTGGCGGCAGTGGTACTAATTGGCAGTGGTTGTGGCACACGGGGGTAGCGTCCATGGTGCAAAACTGAAGAAGACTCTGCTTATAACGCTTATCATGGTGTCGTGTGGAGAATGACGAAGGCTGTCGTTGTCTGAGTGTACATGCCCGTGTGTCATCCGCCCCGTATCGTCACCAGTGTGAGTTTCATCTCGTGTCATGTGTGTCTTGATAAACTTTCACATCTTCAACCTGATTTTCCTCCTCTTCCTGCTGTGGCTGTTGCTGTTGCTGTGGCTGTAGCTGTTGCTTGCGCTGCTGTTGTTGTTCTTGTTGCCGTTGTCGTTGTTGTCGTCTCGGTCTTTGTCGTCTTTGTCGTTGTCGTTGTCGTTGTTGTCGTTGAGGAGGTGGTGGTGGTGGTGGTGGTGGTGGTCGTTTTCGCAGTCGTTGGCATCTTCACTATGTGGCATTCCGGACTGCAGCATTTCCTTTGAGCATGTCATCACCAGGCACGAAGCGAGAAGCATGTGGCCCTGATCAAAGTTGTCAAGGTCGCGGCCTGGGAAGAACTATCTCAGAATCCAAGCATTCCTGACAATGAAAGTTCCTGAAGCATCTGAAGCCTGAACCGGTTCAATTCGTGCAGGCTGCAGGCCATTGTTAATTTAGATCTCTGCGAGCTGCGTCGTAAGCCGATGAAGCGAAATCCCCGAAGGTCCACAGTCCCACATCCTGAAGCGGCCAACTGAATCTGTCTCTCGAGTACAGGGGAGGCTTGAACGTCATTCTCTCCTTCGACAAGCTAGAGCAACACACTCAAGACATGGTGTTTTGCTGAGTTGTAACCTCGGGAGTTAGAGCCAAGCCTCACGCACGAGTACAGCTCCGTCCGTTGCAGCCGTCTTGCAAAGTTCATGGAGCTGCCTGCCTCTTGCCTTGGTTTGTCTTCAGGCACACTTTCTCCCCATCGTGGACATGGTTGAGGCCACTGCAATCAATTTACATCTATGAGTTAGTTTGGAACAGCATAGCAGCATATCTCATGTGGTAGCTTGCTGCAGCTTGCTGACTCAATAGTGAGCCTGGCCCATGGATTTCGGACCCGGAGTTTCAGTCTTCCTGCTTTCCCAAAGCGTCTGCCGGACAGATGCCTCCTCCAGGAGCTGCTGGTATCCGTTGTGTCGGTGGACAGTTTGGTCCACTTCACATCAGCTGATGCTGAGAGGGTGCCTGCGCATGCAAGTGTTGCATCAGGGATGTTTGACAGCTAGTCCACTGCAACCCACCACCCCATTCATTGCGTATTAGTCGAGGCCGAAAACTTCCGAACCTGCAGGTCAGAGTCCTCAAAGACAAGATCCACGAAGCCAAGGGCCGTTTTCGAGAGGTGCTGCAACACCGGGGTGACATGATCAAGTCCATGCTATTGTAGTTTAAGTTTAAATGGCTTTTTCTGGCATCCTGTGCCGGAGTGAAGACAGAGATGAGCGAGGAATTGTCCAAGCCAACCTTTATTGGAGATTCGTCAGCTGGCCTTGCACTACGAGCAGCCGAAAACGAATCCGCCTTCAACACACCAGCGCTGCAGGCTTTCTGGGAGGAGCGTGCAAGGATCATGGCAGAACAGTCACTTGGCTCGCATCAGATGGTAATCGAGGCTTTCTGTTTCAATTTCAAGGGCCTATGGTCAGGACAGACGAGCGGTCGATGCGGAACAGCATCAACGAGCTCCGCGTCATTCATGTGGTGGCCTTCAACATGAGCCGCTGCAGAAACATTTGTTTTGACTGAGCTGCTGTAATGGCCTTGTAACAGAACAACTCCAGCAGCTCCTTTTTCGTGTTGAGTCGGTTTTGTTTTCACCTGCAAACACGATGTTGCGATCTGCAAACTGCGATAAGCGTGGTCGATCGAGGGCGGCATCCACAAAGCAGCACCGTCCCAAGCAACCCAGCACTGCAACTCTTCTGGACTTCACAGGGTCACGTTCATTTGGTTCCGAGTGGTGCCTCTGAGGATGATGATCCTCCGGGACTTCCTGGAGTATGCGACGCGAGCCGCATTTTCGTTTAGCTCCAGGTCGTCCTAACACCCTAAAACAACTCAGTGCCCCACAGCTCCTCCGACCGAGGCCGAGCAGATACTCCGGCATCACGATGGAGAGGCTGTGCCTAAGCCGAAAAGCTACAAGCCAAAGCGCAGGGAAAAGGCATCGAAAGCAACGCGCGAGCGAGGCACGCAATCTTGCAAGCCCCAGATGTTAGACGGTTGAGCGCTTCTCGAATCCCTCTGAGTGGTCGAACAATGACAAGAAATAGTAGTAAGAAACCTCCACGGCCATACCTATGGCGAAGATGATAACACGTTTGGCAGGCGGATCTGCAGAAAGTTGTCGAGCACGATTGGCTGGGCGGCCTTTTCCAGGGCATAGCGAGCCTTCGCACAACCCTTGTGTCAGATTCCGAGAGGGTTTGGTCGAGGGCAGGTGGGGTTTCCGCAAGGTTCTCATGAGTTTTCATGGCGTTTTTTGTAGGTTGCGTGGGACTTTCTGGGGTACTTTGGGCCTCGGCGGCTGTGGTTTCGCAAAACAGCTAAGGACCTTTCAAAACGTGCCTTGGCCGCAAGCCTGAACTCCGGAGCCGCTGCCATGCCTGTGGTCTGCCTCCAAGGTTCGACATGTGCTGCGAGTGGTGCTCTCCGTGATGCTGGGCTTTTTCTTGGGGTATTGCGGCGGAGGCGGGGTGGACCTGGTTGTGCCTGGAACCGAACGCGTGGTCTTCACCGAACATCGCGCCATACCTTGTCTCGCACCACTTCCCACTGCCACCCTGCTCCCAAAGCCCGAGAACTCCTCGAGAACTCCTGACATGGTGTCCGTACTGTCCCGGAAGTGACCAGAAGCAGGCTTCGTGACGCCTGGCACGGCAGCTGCTCTGTAGCATTAAAGAAACCCTCGAGTTCATCGATGCAGATCCTGCGCTTGGGAGGCCAAACTTACCCTGCAGAGCATGTCTGTCAAACCTCTCCCGCGCCCCGTGGAAGGTTCTTAGAACGGCAGCTCGAAACCTCCAATGTCCCAGAACTGAACCAGGAGCATTTCTCATCGACCAGTTTTTTTGTAACGAGTGATCAGCCGGAAGGGTTTTGTGGTTCCGACGCTTCGAGCTGGGCTCAGGGTTTTTGTTGAGGGTGTGGCTCAGGACGTGCCGATGGAGCGAACTCTCACTGTGGACCCCTAAGCCCCTAAGCCTCGCTGAGTGCGGTTTGATATGGTTTGATGAGAGTCTCAAGCTCCCATACACGCTCGGATCCCAGGCCATCGCCAAGGCCACGGCCACACTTCTCAGCAAGAACCAGGGGAGCGCCCTGGTAACTTGGCGGGTCGGTTGAGTGGCTGTACTTGTGAGATGCGGCGGGTCTCATCTCATATCACACAAAGTCTTGCTTGAGTAGATTCTCAATCCTTTGCTTAACTCTCTTTCGTGTGTCAGGCGTAGTATTTCTAGTTGGTGCAGTAGATTAGACATAAACATTTGTTTTCCAGGGTCCAACTGTCCCCCTCGCGAGGATGTATACGTATATGTATACGTATATGTACAATATGTATATGTATATGTGTATGTATTTGTGTATATATATATATCTATATGTATATGTGTATGTATTTGTGTATATATATATATCTATCATGTCAGCCATGTCTTATTCATTTTCTTGTTGTCGTATAACGCACTGTACATAGCGGTAGGAAAGGTAATGTCCTTGATTCGGCTGAGGTAAAGAACCTGAACAGGATTCAGGGTGTGGTGCTCGGGACAATTGCCACTTGCCTCCAATGTAGACAGGGGCCTTTTTGCTAGAAAGCTGATGATCCAACTGTTTTGGCTGCATTCTGGGAAACCCTTGTGTCCATAGTTCACAATTGTCTCATGCCAGCAACATTTTGTTGCAACCATGCTTTGCCTTCTTGCCCAGTTTGGGCAGCTCATTGACACGATCTTCCACAGATCCATAACCTGCCGCTATGCGGATGTGAACGATCTGTTGTTTCTCGGCTGCAGTGCGTGGCCCGGAAGGCAAGAAACAAGTCCCGGGTTTCGCAGTTTAAACCACAGCCTGAGAGGCTGGGAGCCTGCTTCGCTCTCTTCATGTATGCTGCGGACCCAGAGTTTGACTATTACAGCTATTGCCAGAGATCCCTGCTGTGCAACTTCGCGGGCGGCTGGCAGGTCACCATGTTCATACGATTCCATGTGTCCGAGTTCGCTATCATGGGTGTGCAGATGGCGAACTTCGGTGGCCAAGCGCCCCGGACTGCGGTTTGATCTCCAAAACCTGCCACAGTCCCCTTTTTTCCCTTCAACCTCAAGCACGTGATGCATTTGCAGCCTTAGGAGATGTTGGTGGGCTCCTGTGGCGAAGAGCGCAACATGGAGGCCTTGGGCCTGGGATTTCAGCGTGGTGTTGGTGGGGTTATGGACTTGTGGCGCTCGAGGGCCAACAGGGGAGAGTCGGTCTTCCAAACTGCGAGATCGCTAGCCTTCAGCCGAAAGCCCGAATCGCTGGAGGCCTTGGATAGCGTAACTGTCAATCTTCTTGCCATCGTCTTCTTGGTCTCCGTGGACCTCCTCTTTGCCAGAGAACGGGCCTCCGTGCCGCGGCTGAGACTTTCGCACGGCTTCATGTGGCTTACCACATTCCAGTGTGGGGCCTGCGTGTCCAGATGCAAGCTCTGGACACTTTGTGTGGCCTGTGTCTCATGCATGCGGGTGTAGTAGAGTGGAGCCATCTGTGGAAACCATCTTTGTCCTGGTGGTCAGTCCATCAAGGACTTGTGCGTGTCTTGAGATCGCCATCTTAGCCCAGAAGCGAAAGTGTGGAGAAGCATGGATGGTTTCGTAGTGCCGCCTGAGGACATGGCTACCGCGCACCTGGGCGGCAATCTGGCGGGCGCAGAGCTACCATAGGTTGATTTGCAGTTAGAGGTGGGTCATCTGTGAGACCGTCCCAAGACCCTCTCAAGTCTCTAGGAAGGCCGAAAGCCATCCGGAAGCCGTAGGGTCGCAAAAGGATGGCGCACCAGTCCTGGATGGCCATCAAGCAGAGCCTTGGGTGGTCTCGACATCAGTACAGTGCTCTTCCGGTCTTGAAACAAGCGGTTGAGGATTTGAGTGTGCAAAGTTCTTGGCGACTTGGTGCTCTAGGTCCTAGGTGCTTAGAACTACTTAGAAATAAAGAAGCTGCAGTTTGCGGCCTTTGGGATTCTGGGTCGGAGATCTCCTCGCGCTTATCCTCAGCCTTGCGTTGCCCCTCAGCGCCAGATCACCTCGCGCAGTCCAGGAATGTCCTGGCGGCTCTGGACGTGGAACAGCCGGAGGTGCGGGGGCCGGGTTGGGGATGAAGCCGTGCCGGGTGAATAGGCTTGTGGCTATGAGTGAACTGTAGAGTTCATGGAGGTTCTGGCCTCAGACTAGTTTCGGGGTCCAGGGTTCAAGTCAAGGTGTCCAGGAACCAGACTTAGCCACCTTGTGCTCTAAGACTCCCCTAAACCCTAAACCCTCTTTGCTCTATGTCGCGAAATGTCAACGCCAGGTTCACTTCACGCGCCAGGAGATGTTGAACATGCTTGCCGAGACGGAGAGTACCTCGCCCGCAGGTGGTACTGGGGAGGCAATATAGTAGGGTTCCTTGTTATGACTCGTAAATATGTATATATATATATAGAAAAAATATATACATATATATATATATATGTGCCACCCCCCCCTCATGTACCCACGTTTTGTGCTTGAATCATGTGCAAAAGCTCATGCAAACCGTTTTTGCCCATGTGTAATGTGACATCTCATGAAATTTGGAACGAAAGTTGGAAGACAAAGTGTTCGTAGCATTTCGTTGAAAGAGTCGGAAACTCAGCAATGTTTGTATTAAGAATAAGACTCAACATAATGCTACCACCAATACTATTAACATGAAAAGTAATACTGATACTAGCTTTTCCTAGGCATATTACTCGTCAAAAAAATATTGAATACTAAGACTAACATCAACACTAACGCGACTATTAATACGGATACGAATACTCAGATTCTTAGGGTTTTTGAACCATTATCCACACTCGTCTCAATTATTCTAATAGGTTAAGTACTAATACTAATATTAAGGCTGATACGAATAGGCATGAACCACATACTAGTACTTATGCCAATACGGACTACTTATATTAACATTGGTACTCCTACGAATGCTAAGATTCATGTTCATATTCACAATAATGTCAACTCATACGAATAAAAGCGCATACATTTACGGATGTATACTAATATACATGATACTATATTAAAATACCAGTACATTGGCATATTCATATACTAATGTTTTGAAACCTTTCATATATTCATGTACTAACAAAAAAGCACTCGTTTGCCAAAATAACAGTACACTAAAACAGTTGTACAAAAGTTAATATATTGATAAACGAAACGAACGTGCTAATATACACATGTACCAGCTTCCGACATACCAATGCACGACGTTACAAGTGTGCAAACATACTCATATACCACTACATTCATGTATTAGCATATTAATCTTGAAAAATACTAGTCTATTAATATGCATTTAAAATATTAAACCTAATACCAACGCGAACACTACTGCGTATTCGAGTATTATTACCTAGATTAGCATGTATATTCAGACTAATACTAATATTACTACTGAGGCTCACATTGACATTGAGTATTAATGCTCATACGCATACTAGTACATATAGATTTTCAAACGTATAATAATATACATACATACTACTATATTACAGCACCAATGCAATAGCACATTCATGTACTAATGGGTTCGTTTTTTATATAGTCAGAAACCACTATACGACTATACTCATGTCCTTTTTTTAAATATGCTAATATGCTAATATACTAGATGATTCATACATGAATATACTAATATACGAACATACTAGTATACGAATAAACAAATATACGAATACTTTGATATACTGATGCATTCATATACTAATACACAAAAGCAGTCATATAGTATTCAATTTTACGAATGTGTCAATACCGTGAGAACTGATATACTAATATACAAATACACCATTTTTCCAGTCTACTGATATACTCATATAATCATATACTGCTATACTAATGTACGATTATACAAGTATTCAAAATATGCTAATGTACTAAACATTCATCTACTGGTATACTGATCTACTAATTAACTTATGCATTAATATACTTATCTATTACGTAATATATACTCAATATTATTAAACCTAGTACAAATGCGGATACTAATACGTATACGAGTATGAATACAAATACTAACATGCATACTCAGACTAATACTAACTGACATACTGATATCGATAGTGACTACTAATACTAATGATAATACTCAGACTAATATTAACAGTAGACAAATACTATCATTGACACTGATACAAGAATGTAGACTACTCAAAATACTACAAACAGTAGTAAATACTAAGATTGAAATTGCATCAACGAAATAAGGGTCCGTATTCAAACCGATTCAGGGCGTATTCAATCGAATAC